GAGCACGAGATTTTTAAATTCGTGTAATTTAAATGTTTGTATCGATTACACTGTAAAAAAGCGTGAACACGAAATTGTTTGTTTTTACTTTTTATACATGTAAACTATTTGGTACCGCCGTACCGGATAAATTCCTTTCCGAGGTAATCGTTTTTTCATCGGTCTAAATTAACACGTAGAGTCTTTAGTTGTAAGTAAAAAAATAACTATACCAAACCGATCTACACTATATAGTATACAATTTAAATTCAATTATTCTATATCAATAAATAAATCTCAAAGCAAAATTCAAATACTATGGTAATAGTTTAGCATTCTGATTAAAATATCAAACGTTCCAAGTAGATATTGGCAGATTGCGGATAGACAAATCCGTGGTTGCTATATAGTTTCAAAATTTTAGGTTTAAGGAATATTGAAAACCGGATAAAGGTAGTCGAATTGAACCGGTTAAGTAAGGTTAATGGGGGACCCACAATAGAAACTAATGATTGTGGTGGGAGCAGAAGAGGCATGCAAATGTAGGCATCACTTGTGACAGCTGAAAAATAAGGAAATGATTCATTATTATTCATATATAATATTTGTCTCTTCTTCTTTTTTTAATAGTATTTTCTTATTATCAATAGTATCAATATTCTCACTTCCTGTCTTTTCTTTTGTCTTCTAAAATAATTTTACCCCACGAAATTCAAAATTTGAGCCGATTCTTTCTTTCTTTCTTTGGTGTTTTGCAGTACTAATCATGACAATTTCTCTTTTTACCTATACAGTATGAATCGCTTTTCCAATGTGATCAATCTAGATTTATTGCAGGAGATAGTACATATCCATGTGAGGAGCTATTTTCGTCACAAAAAAAAACAAAAAAAACTTTTTTCGTCTTTGAACTCTATGAAGATGTTTAAAATCTTTCAAAAACAAATTGCGGATGATAGAATATTTATAGGCGTTGACAACCAAAAAAAAGGATAAAATATTCGTAGGCAGATTAAAATTAATTTCGAGCTATTTGACTACAAAAGTAGTTAATTTGTGTTTTGTTAAAAATTATTCAGTTTATTGTATATTGTAGAACTAAAAATGACCAGACACTGATAGAATGACGGTGGAAGT